AGCCATTGCTAAGGTAGAGCTGGAAATATTATAATACAGGCATCGGATAAAACCACAAAATGCATCGGCGAAATTCATGACTGCCAAAACCTTATCCATAAATTCTCAATCGACGGAATCGAACGCTTTTTCTTGATCGAGAGAAGCAAAGGCACAGGCCATGGATGGGTGAACGGCGACATAATCACAGCTATCGCTTAGGAGAGCGGCATTATCATAACTAGATCGACCTGGGGACTGCACAACATTGGTCAGGATGAATGATGATAGTTATAACTGTCTGGAAACGGTGCACCAGAACTTTGGCAGTGATCTTATAATTGCTGTTCAAGAGTGAGGTGGGACGCCAGTTGGTGATATCTTCTGGATCGTTTTTCTTGTAAAGAAGGATTATGTTGGCTTCCCTCAAATATGGGGACAAAAGTCCACTGGTAAAAGACGCAGACACTATATCTAAAAAACTTTTATTCAAGGTTTGCCAAAAGCGTACTTGCAATTATTTTGGTGGGCCATCAAGTCCAGGGAATTTATGATTTGACAGCGACATAAGGGCTCAGTGACATTCCTTGTCAGTAAAGGGGCGGTCAAGGTGTTCTCTATCGGCCTCTGAGACACGCCGATTCAAAGCGAGAGACGCCGCCGTTGTGACTTAGGGTCAGTAGGAACTCGAGAATACAAGGAGGCGTAAAAAGCAACTTGTGTTTGTGCAATGTCTCTTTGCTGTGTGACCTCCGGCCGTCGGCTGTGCGAAAAGCTGTGTAGGTTTTTCCAGCAGCACGGAGACGAGCACGGTGGAAGAAAAAGCGAGAAACCGAATTCTTCGCAAGTTTAGGGCTCGCTCAGCTATTTTGTCTGCCAATACTTGCTGTAAAATGAAAAAACGGCATTGTATTATAGCACTGAATCATGCAAAAATTTAGATGATTTTTTGTAACCTACATGAATAGTACCAAATGATCCCAATGAGAATTGATATTTTTTAATCAGCAAAAGAGAATTATTTCTTCTTTCATGAGCAGTTTGCGATTCAGTGTGTGCCAAAATTGAAGAAGTCAATTGCCTGTTAATTTAAACTTGTTTTTCATTACATTGATAATAAGGTCTTTTTAAGGCAATTTCGTTTTACCAACAACACTCATTTTCCGGTTAAAGTCTTCCTATAATTATGGAATTAAAGAATTATTCATCTATAGCCTCATCAGGCAATAGCTAGAACTCTAATTAGGGTGGGGATTATTCATTTTTTTTGTTGTATCCGACAGGTTTCTTTTAGAAACCCTTTCACAAGAGAACTCAGTTGAGAAGAAATAAATATGTAAATACACATTTCCCTCATCCCAATTAACGTTTCAACTGCTACCCTCAGCCCGATTTGATAGACATAAACTAACCGCAGCTCGACTCAAAGTTACACCCAAATTAATTTTTTGGGTGTAAAATTCCATGACCCGGCTAAAACCGAGATTGACTTTGAATAGACGTCGCATCACACGAAACGGTGTGAAACCAGAGTTAGTCATTATTGGACACATGTGCACTGGTGTCTTTACTTCGGATTTTGATTTAATTTGATTTTTTGTGTTCAGGAGCTCTAAATGCAAACTTTGTTATCCAGCATAAATGGTACATAATAATATTCCAGTTTGGAATTCGCATGTGAATTTTGGCTTTTTTGCTTTGGTAAATGTAAAATAATTGGGAAAGTGATTTCAATTTTTTCATTGTGGTTCATTCTACATCAATGAAAAAATTGAATATGTTTTTGTTTGTATTTTATAAACGTGACATCCTGTTCTGTTTCCTGTACTGGTGATATGATACAATATTCTGTTTCCTGTACAGGTAATGTGACACAATATTCTGTTTCCTGTACTGGTAATTTGACACCATATCCTGTTTCTTATACATGTGGCGTGACGCTATATCCTGTTTCTTGTATTATTGGTGTGACACCATATTCTGATTCCTGTATTCGTGGTGTGAATTTATGAGCTGCATTTTGTACTGATAGTATAACTTATGTCCTATTTCATTACTGTTAGTGTGATACCATCTTCTGCTTCATCTACTGTTGGTGTAATGCCATATTCTGTGTTATGTACTGTTAGTAGAGCAACCTGTCCTGTATCAACTATTGTTGGTGTAACACTGTGTATTATATAATACACTGTTGGTGTTATATCATATCCTGTATTATATACTGTTGTTGAAACAGTATGTCCTGTAATATCTATTGGTGATGTAACAACATTTCCTATATCATCAGCTGTTGGTGTGGCACCATGTCCTGTATCATCCATTGTTGGTGTAACACTTTGTACTGTTTCGTGGTCTTTTGATAAAACACCGTGTCTTGTTTTATGTGGTTTTGGTGTGACTCTATGTCTTGTTTTGAGCCCTGGTAGAGTTGTTGTTTGTCCTATTTCTTGCACTGAATTTTGGTCACCATGTCCTGTTTCCTGCATTGGTGATGTGAGACCAAGCACTGTTTCCTGCATTGGTGATGAGACTTCATGTACTGTTTCCTGTACTGGTGATGAGACTTCATGTACTGTTTCCTGTACTTTTAGTGCGACTCCATGCTTTGTTTTTGCACAGGTGATGTAGCTCTAACCATCAAAACCAAACTTATTTTTCTGCAAGCTGGCATATGAGTATCTTATGTGCAACCTGAAAAAACGAAAAGGTTCTTTTGTTCATTTATGATTGGGTGAAGATTCAATGCATTCTAATTTACAATTTTTACAGTGATGCAGACAAATAAAAACAAAATAAAAAAGGTAGAAGTTACGTTATTAAGGTTCCCACTGTTATGACATTGTTGTTTACACTCTGCAACAACCAACTTGACATTCAAACCCATTCATAAAGCTATGTACCAAAGCCAGGCTTTTTTATATGTTGCATCAATAGCTTTTGTACAATATTTTGTACATTGAATCACTGAAACACTCCAGATTTTGGTGACGTGCTTATTATATTATGAGGTTGTAAGCATCTTCTTTCTTACATATCATATTCATGTCTTTGTAAACTTTTAATCAAAATGTCAAATAAAACTGGTCAGTAAAAAATGTAAATGAAATTACCAAAATTAGTGACTTTAATATCTTCAAAGTAATTTCTTATTTCACACTCCGGTTTTACATATTATATTATTCATTCAAGATAATACTTTGCACTTAGAAAGTATTGAATATGAAAATGTAATATTTGTTTGCACTTACTTCATGAACTGATCTTAAGTTACTTTGTATTTCAGTTGCTTTTCAAGTTTAAAATCTTTACTTCAAAGATTTGTTATACTCATCTTTACATTTGGAGGTGCAATGCTTCATGGGATTTCCATTGCAATTGTGTTTCCACTTCTTTGAATTACACGGAAAAAGCGTTGCCTCCCTATATATCCTTACATTCATTTTCTTTATTGAAATATTCTTAGGAATTGTCGAAAAGTTTAAAAGTGGATGATCAGATTTTTATCATTTTTCGAAAGTAATTACTTCTATCTAATTTCTACGTGATGTTTGATCCATGTATTCTTCCGAAGTTCCGATTCCTTGCACGACATGCATAGTTTTTATAGCATGGCTTCGTCTTTGGTTCATCGTGACCATTTTTGTATACAAGTAGCTGAGGTGCTCTTGAACAAATGGCTTCGCTGATGGCAATTTGCTCGATTCCTGTATCTTTATGTAATAGCTTCCATTATTTGTGTTTCTTGTTTATGTTCCTGCATCTATGCGTTTTCTTTGAAATGTGCCAATTTCTTCTTTATAACCACAACGAAGTGTATTCGATGGTGTCAAAACGATGTTTAAAACTTTTAACAATGACGTTTTATAGCATTTTTTTCGCACAGGAAGAGAGGTGTATTTTTTATGAAAGACGTTCTTGTCATAATGACAACTGAGTTCTTATAATCAAGCTTTGTAGTCTCAGCCTTTAAATATTTCAATTGTGTTCAGGAATTCATCTGGAAATTTAAATTCCGTTGTATAGATGTCACAAAGTCATTTATTCTTTTTCTTTTGGTAACATTGATGTTATGTTGATAAAATCTTTTAAATATACTTATGTCTAAAGTTATGTAGCTATGTCTGTATGCTAACATTTTTAGCGGCAATATTGTAAATGTTCAACCGAATATTTAAAATGCATTATAAAATAATATTTGCATATTTATTTTACAATGACAATATCAACTTGGTGAAGACTTCTAAGAGCTTTTGCTTAGCAGACCTCATGCATAAAATACATTGTACGTGGCGTGCGTAAAATATTTGTTTCACACATCATGCATTATCATCAATAGTACAATGTATATGTATTCATTCGGCAATGCTGGTTTTGGCTTTAATAAACCAGGCGGTTTTTGTTAATGATGTATTTTGTATTACCTGTCACCTATCAACTGATAATTCAATACATATTATTGTTATTTTTTAAAAACATTTCATGCACATCTGCACTTCTTTATATTCTTATGATCTGCGTGCGTTTAAGAATATTACTTGACTGTATATTTATGCTAAATTAAAAGCAAGTCAAATAATAAAGTTGTACATGTGCTTGAACTCCTGGAAAAGCCCTTGAATTTCTAACTCTTCTAGTGCTCTTAATTAGTCTCGAAAATCTCAGAGGACTTCACAGAAGGACTTAATGCTCTTGAAAACTCTGGCAGCTAATTAATATTGATAATTTCTTTATGTCTTTTTTTAACTGATCTTCAGTAGTGTGCCAGTCGTCCGTTTTTACCTGCTTGAACTTTTTACTTTAGAATGAAGTTGAGCATCTTTCTGAACAGAAACACAGTACCCAATGAAACTTTTTAAAACATTGAGCTTTTTCTTGTAATCTTGTTAGGGTGCTCAGTCTAATGAAAATACGTCTGAAAATCCAACGGATTCAACATCTTCTCTATTGCATTGGTTGAAAATGTGCTAAGAATAACGCAAATCCCCTTTTTTACTATCCCTCAACATTGTTTGGTACACGTATGATGACGTACTTTATATTATTAACATAAAAACAAAGTTAATGCTAACAGTAACTTTTTCATTGGCTTTTGGTTTTTGACGTTGATGAATAAGAAAAAAATTACAATTCAATCATTATATTCAGAAATTGAATTCCAGCATCATAATGATATCGCTTAATCCAATCTCTAGCCATTAAATATATGTCTACTTTATAAAAATCTATAAAGGCATCCCTGGCGATAAGCCGTTTCGTCCTGTACTTTCTTGTAACCATTCAAAAGAGTGTTGGTTAATCTGTTCATCGTTCGACTGTGGCAAGTTTCCTCTTTCCTCTCGATCATTTTCTTGCACTGGGGGTCTCACAGACTACAGTTAATGTAACAGAATTTACGTTGGCTTGTGGAATGTGCTCTGGGCAAATTCAAATCTGTGTGGGTCATTTTATTTTGAAGTTTCTCTATACAAACTGTTTTGCTACCAACAAGCACTATCAAATTGTGTAGGTCATTACTCACCGAAGTCATAACTTGCTGGTTAGATGGTTGCTGTTGTTGCTCTTTTCTTTTCCCATCTCTAATTTGCTGAAAAGAGAATTTTATTTCTATGGTCACTTGGTTGTTAGGTTGGTAAATGCTTAAAAATTTTACTTTAATAGTAGCTTCAAATTTAAAGGTAATACACCTTTGTGAAATTTTTCATTCATGGTACATTATAAAAAGAAGCTTCAATGTAACAATATTGCTACTATAATGCATGCATGAATAGTCTGGCATGACTCACCCTGGCAAAATTTTTTTGGTTTGTCTGTTGCTTCTTCTGCTGTCTCTGCTGTTCTCGCATATGCTGAAAAGAAAGTTTTATGATTATTAATAGATTGGTCAAACCTGGCATGAGCCACAAGTAGTTTTTGTCCAGGAAGACACTAAAGGTAGTTAATGTTTGATTGTATGCCTTAAATTTAGAGAACTACTTTGAACGTGATATCTTAAATCACCACCAAAATTAATCATTATGTGAAGGATTCTTTGATACAATAACCTGTTACCAACCATGCACCCAGGAACTGTCTAGCTGGACTCACCCAATCCAATGTTTGCTGGTTGGTCTGTCGCTGCAGTTGCTGTCGTTGCCCTTGTCTTCTTCGTGGAATACAACGATATGTTTCATTTCTCGCAAGTGCTTTTCCTGGTGACATCTTTCCTACGTATTACAAATAATGATAGTGAGATTTTACTAACCAAAAGTAGACCCAACAAGTCTCAATGTTGAAAAAGAAAGAAAATGTAATATGACAGACAGACCCTTTATTAAGGAGTTGTTTTCATGTTCCTCGTCGTATTCACTGTAGTTATATAAACCATAGCCATTGCAGGCATGGGATTTGATTCTATTGTTGTTGTCACAAAAATAGGCTATAGGCGGCAGCTTTGGTATTATTTGATCATATAACTCTTTCAGCTATCTACTAAAGCTTTTGTTTATTCTCCAAGGATGAAATGTAATGACCTATCTATTTTTTTCTTGTGCTCACTTTACTTCTTCTCCCCAATTCTAAGACAAATGTGTAGACCCATGCACAAGTCACCATTTTATCAAGTAAACAATGAACACAATAACTTTAAGAATAAGGTTTAGAGAGATGATATTTCAAAAGTCGTTTCTTCCCCTAAATGATTTGATCTTCGTATTACACTGCTAATTATAATGTCTGGCAAACCTTGTAAATCAGTCCCTACACTAATATGTAGATAATGCATATTGCCTTTACACAGCATTCATAATGTAAGATTGCAGCAATTCTTTTTAATGTTATAACTTAAAGTTTCGTGTTTCTTATATGAAAAACACTAAACTGAATAAAACAAGACACGACAGGGTCGTTGGCCGTATTTTTTGTAAATGGTTTTCTCTTATTGCTATCTATTAAGAAAATAAATAGCGAGTTTGCTGTAAACTTTGCTTGGACTTTAAACTGAAGCTAAGTAGCGAAGTTTAGATTGATGTATAAAGATTTTTACGTGTTTCTGGTCTATGTATTTAAGGTTTCAGTTTAAAAATTTGAATGGAGAATATGAAGGAAGGGAAACGAATCGTATTTTGATATGCTTTATGCTTCTCACATGATGTTCGTCTTTTACGATTACAAGTATAACTTGTTTTTAAAAGATTCAATTACACTGATCAAGAAAAAAGTCACGAATAATACTAAGCAATATTTGCATAGTTGATGTTTGTCATAAGCAGGCATATTTAAGCTTAACAAATTAAATTTTCCCATCCGCAAATCATTACAGTAATTTTTCACGAAGTAAGACGATCTGTTTCACTTATATTCGTTTTAATTTATGTCTAATTTAGCGCAGTTGCACCTACTATATGTATGTATATGTACTTGCCTGATTTTAAAGACCAGTCCGAGCTTGTTCTTTGTATTATCTGTTATCTTTAAACCCGCTATATGACATTCAACAATATAAGCTTCTCGAAAATCTCCACATCTCCCCCCTGCCCACCCTCTCGTCGAACACCACAATCACGCAATATAACAAATCTCGCAGGAGATTGAACGACAAATTATATTTCCGCTTGTTTTGTCGATGACGCAACAAAATGTTATGTTCTTCATCGTTTGTAAAATATTCTTGGCATTCGTTGGTTTATTGAAATATTCTTAAGATTTACCAATAAGTTTGTCAGCATATAATACTGGTGATACCTTTTGATTTGAGTTTTTAGATGTTGTGTATACATATTTCACTCTTTATTAATTGAAAGTAGCTAACTACTTTAAAAAACTTTTGTATAACAAGAGATGAGATTATTCTACTGAAGTTTCCATGACCGGCAAGAGATGTTTTTTGTAACTGCTTCGTCTTTTGTTTCACGATTTCACCATTTTGGTATACAAGTAGAAAAGCATCTTTTAAGTTAATGTTTTCCTCAATAGCAATCCAACCGATTTATACATACTTCTACATTAGGGCATCCATAGCCTTCCTCGAAATCTGCCGATGAATAGTCTGAACATTCTCTTCATCTGTAAGCGAATATGCAATTAATGGTACATTATAAGTCGTAAAGATATTGAGCACTTTGATCCATAAAGTTCAACTTAAGCAATCTTGTGTACACGTAGCAAGGTGTGTTCCTTATTATAGACGTTGTTATTGTGAATATGTTTTGTACTTCCAGCTTCCCTCTGATTTAATTGTGTTGAGAAAATTAATTGCATATTTCAAATTTTGACCGCGGTATGCTGTATACCATAAATATTTATATAGTCAAGCATCATAAAAGTCGTCTTCGTTAATGCTGTTACATATATGCTATATTAACTGTTCACCATGTATATTTCTCTGTTAATTCTGACACTGTATGAAATGTTCCTTCTAATGATTTGTTGCTTCATTAAAACATGTTTGCATAATCAATTTAAAAGAACAATATACAATCGGGAAAGACTCAAAGACGTTTTTGCTTGTCAGACTTCATGCGTAAAATATATTGCATGTAGCCTTTGTAAAATATTTGTTTCGAAGAAGTTCTCTATAAATTCTTTTTGTGGATATTAAAGTGTCGATGAATGCATTTAACCTTCTCACCTCACTAACTTAACTCTTTACGTTAGGTGTTATATGCATAGCGATATACAGTCTTCAATTCTCTTAACGTGATGATTAAAGTCTTCTTATATCATAAATCATGACCAGCCGACAATTTAAAGAAGTATAATATAAAACAAATTCGGAAGAAGCAAGACATCTTGAGATTGCAAAATATGAATCAAAACAAGACGAGAAGTAAACTGTAAATTTCGACTTTATTTCAAAGTCATCCTCAGACAGAAAGGATGACTTCTGAGGATGACTTTGAAATAAAGTCGAAAATTTACAGTTTACTTCTCGTCTTGTTTTGACTCATATTTTGCAATCTCAAGATGTCTTGCTTCTTCGGAATTTGTTTTATATTACACTTCTTATATCATAATATAGGGTATTTGTAAAGAGTGATGTTTTGTAGAGACTTGGACATCTTCGTTTAGTCTTTTTAAAGGGAAGTATTCCCGTGTTAAACATGAATTCCTTATTTAGTCAAGTCCATTTTTGCTGTCAGGAAATGAGGTTGTGTTGAAACGAGTGTATCTAACTGTCGCGGGTCGCGGTAAAATGTCGCGAGTAAAGTCGCGGGTAAAATGTCGCAAGTAAAGTTGCGGGTCTAAAAACACTTTTTTTGAATGGAAAAGTTTGAAAGAAGTCGATGTTAAATTCTTACGAATTCTTTATTTCTATGTATTTCATTCAAGTGGGTTTGAATGTGCTCTATAAATCAACGTTCTCTGCTGTCAACATTAAAAAATATGCCACTGGGGCTTTGGATATTTAAGTTTTGTGTTTGTTATACCATTCCAATTATACATAACGATGCGTTGTTAATAAAAGAGGAATTATCATTAGTTTTGAGGGCCGTTGAAATTTTCACAATTGAAATTTTAAAACCCAGTTCATAAATTATAAGATATGGTTTATTTATATGTATAACTTGAACTTTCACACGACTATAAATTTGCTTTTCTTTAGCAACTAAGTTATTCATTACCATTGAAAGAGTAGTATCCAAGTAAAACTTGAATGGTTAGTGATGCTTGATATTAATGAAGAGCTATGTTTTTTATAGTGATTAGTGTATAACTTATGAATATTAATATTATATTTGGATACATAGAACAAACACACATTGCCTATAAATTAGGATTTTACGCAACGCTAATGAGGTATTTCTATTGACAACAGAGTAAGTGTATCTTATAGACCCTGGCACTAAGTGTAGTAGGGTCATAACAAATATCAACCATTAATTCAAGATTTATTTTTATACAACTCATGTAATAGATATAAAACACATTATTGCTAAGTAAAAGAAACTTGCCAATCGTGCGCAAGGAAAAATAGAAGCTGGTTTTCCTTATATAATCTATCAATAGCTATGATATTTGATGCTAAACGAAATGTGTTTACGAGTTGAGGTGGACGAGTTTTCAACGGTAATGTCCCAAACCTTGCAGCCACTAATTATAGAATTTGTATACTGGGTACATTGGGTATATCATAAGTATAAAAAGACAATAAAATATGTCTCCGGGTGCGTTGGATAATTAAGATTACCTATCTACATGTGTTGGTTTTTCTATATGTAAATTCTCAAATTAGAGACTGCAAGGTTTAGGGACATTGCCGTTGAAAACTCCGTACATCCACTTCAAGTCCCTAGTATATAAATTGTATAATTAGTGGATGCAAGATTTGCTGACATTACCGTTGAAAACTTCGTACATCCACTTCAAGTTCCAAACACATTTCGTTTAGAATCATATTTCAAAATTTATGGATAGATTATATAAGTTGCGTAAAATCCTGATTTATAGGCAATTTGTGTTTGTTCTTTGTTTCAAATATAATATTAATATTCATAAGTTATGTACTAATCACTATAAAAAATATAGCTTTTCATTAATACCAAGTATCACTAACCATTTAAGATTTACTTGGATACAACTCTTTTAATGGTAATGAATAACTTAGTTGCTAGAGAAAAGTAAATTCATAGTCTTGTGAAAGCGCAAGTTATACAAATAAATAAACCATATCTTATAATTTATTAACTGGGTTTTAAAATTTCAATTGTAAGAGAATTTTAACGGCCCTCAAAACTAATAATAATTCCTTTTTTATTATCAACGCATCGTTTTGTACATTAGGATAGGTATAACAAACACAAATCTTAAATATCCAAAGCACCAGTGACATAATTTTTTAATGTTGACAGCAGAGAAAGTTGATTTATAAAGCACATTCAAGTGGGCACACATAGAAATAAAGAATTCCTGAGAATTTAACAATGACTTCTTTCAAACTTTTCCATGCAAAAAATATGTTTTTGAGACCTGTGACTTTACCCGCGACCCGCGACAGTTAGATACACTCCGTTGAAACTTATTATATACAATTCATAGTTTTTATATGGTCTTTTAATGAGAGTTGAATCCCTATTTACTTCAGTTTTTTCCTGGGTATGATATATTGCAGATTTCAACAAAACTTAGTTTTTGTATGCTGTAGTCTATTGTGTTAAAGTTTGGTAGATTATTTATGTATGTAATAACATTATAATGAATGCCTGTGACACACTTTCAATATTGGTTTTAGCTTTGATAGGCAAAAGAAGGTACGAAAGCATGATCGTGACTAAAACACCACACGAGTACATACGAGTACATACGAGTATATACGAGTAACATACGAGTACATACGAATAACATACGAGTACATACGAGTAACATACGAGTACATACGAGTAACATACGAGTACATACGAGTGACATACGACTATTTTCTGGTCAACAAATGAGAAAAAACACAATTTCTTCAATACATTGATATTTGCGTTTACTTTTCCTTGTATTTGTGTGGACTTTGGGGCAACCATTTGATGGATTTAAATGCTGAAAAGGTATTTTAATTTCATACTACATTCATTTGTATGTTTTAGTTGAATTTGTTATAGATATTTTGTCGATGCGATTTGCCAGTATTTGAGCGCTTTTTGACACACTTTCACTTAGGAAATACATATTTATGAAAGCGATTAAATAAACAACGTATCAATAGTGCTTTCAAAACGTGCTATATGAAATAAATGTACATTATATATATTTGAATTGATTGAGAGTTGCACTGTGTTACGTATATATATCATATTATGCGTACAATTTCAGCTTACTTTTAATGTTTTTAAAGTTCTAGCTGATATAATTCAGTC